TGTACATATATATATTTATTATCTAGGTAAGTATGGATATAGTTATAGATAGATACAAATATCATTCTATAACTGGCAGCTAGGTGGTGCAGTGGATAGAGTGTCAGCCATGGATTCAGGAGGACCTGAGTTCAAACCAGGCCTCAGACACTTGACACTTACTAGTTGTGTGACCCTGGGCAAGTCACTTAACCCTGTTTGCACCAGTTTCCCTATCTGTAAAATGAGTAGAGAAGAAAATGGCAAACCATTCCAGTAACTTTTCCAAGAAAACTCCAAACAGAATCAAGAAGATTTAGACATGACAATAGGGGCAAATGAAAAGAACCTATATGTTCTAAAATGTTTATAGCAGTTCTTTTTGTGGTGGCAAAGAACTAGAAATTGCAATGACACCTCTCATTTGAGGAATGGCAGAACAAGTTGTAGTTTATGATTGTGATGGAAAAGTACTGTGCTATGAGAAATGTTAATTTCAATGATTTTAGAAAAACATGGAAAAATTTGCATGAAATAATTCTGCCTGCTCATCATTTCTTATAGTACAATACTCTTCCATTACATTCATATACCACAACATGTTCAGCCATTCCCAACTGATGAACAGCCCCTCAATTTCCAATTCTTTGCCACTACAAAAAGAGCTGCTATAAATATTTTTGTACATGTGGGTCCTTTTCCCATTTTCTTGATCTCTTTGGGATATAGACCTAGAAGTGGTATCAATAGGTCAAAGTAGAGAAAGGATTCTTGATTTTTCCTCTATTTAAATATTTTTTTTCCCTTTGTGATTATATGTACTTTAAGTATGCATTTGAAATGATTAATCTGATATGAGGTCAATATGCTTCATCAGATGGCTGAAAGGGTCAGTTGCGCACACATACGAAGGCGTGCACACACACACACACACACATACACTTTAAGAATCCATGGACTAGACTAAGTTTTTAGTGTATTATGTTTGTTTGTTTGTTTGTTTTTGGTTAGGCAATGGGTTTAAGTGACTTGCAAAGGGTAGTAAGTGTCAATTGTCTTAAGTCCGGATTTGAACTCAGGTCCTCCAGACTCCAAGGCCAGATCTTTATTCACTGTGCCACCTGGCTGTCCCATAAATGAATTTTTTTTAAAATTAAAACAAAACAATGTAATCATAACTAGATAGGTAGATATTTTAGATAGATATGTATAGATATACATATAGTGGTATATGGGTGTTCAAGGAGTACTAGCACCTCTCGTGTCAGGGCTTACTGAACCCTTTTAAAGGCTGCTCATCTACCTTCATTATCCATCTGGCACTCAACTCTCACCTGCAGCTCCAAGAAGCTTTAGTATGTGCAGCAACCACATACCAGCAAACTGTCTTGGCAGATGGGCTAAACCAGATTGAAGGTAACTGATAGCCATCAAACCTATTAAAGTTAGGTTGTGTCTACCCAAAGCATGCTACAACTTCCCCTCAGTGGAACAGACAGATAAGAACATTCAACAGCCATGAAGGGGGGAGCCAAGACGGCAGAGTAAAAAGGTAGTTGCTGTCACCCTCCCCTATCAACCTTTCAAAACCCAGAAAATATCACCCCAGAAAAACAAAACAAAAGAAACAAAAAAAAAATCCCTGGAGCAGCTGAACTACAAGAAAGACGGGGAGCAGCAGTGCAGCAGCCCAGCAAAAGAGTCTCCCAGTGCCTCAGCAAAAATAAGGGAAGCAGCATTACAAAGGACTCCAGGCAGATAAGCACCCTGCAGCATTCAACTGAAAGGAGCTGAAGAAGCCAACCTAGAGTCTTCCTGAAGTCCCAGCCTTGCTGATTCCAACCCAACACCAGGCCAGCTGTCAGAACCTTAAAGCCTCCAACTTTCAACCAGGAGGAGATCCTGAAACCCGGGTGGTAGAACCGGCAAACACCAACACCTGGACCTCTGAGTACCTCAGTGAGACAGAGGAACCAGTGGAAACCAGCTCAGAAAACCACCAGGTGTCTCAGCACTCTACCACAAAGAAATCTCCCAATGCATTAGCAGAAATGAGAGAGGCAGCATTTCAAGGGGCCGCAGGCAGATTAACACTCTGCAGCACCTATCTGAAGAAAGCTAAGGGAAAGGAAAAGCAGGCAACCTAGAATTGCCTGAAAATTCCAACCTTGCTGATTCCAACCCAAAACGAGGTAAGCTGCCAAAACCCTACAGCCTCCAATTGCCAGCATAAGAGGCCCCAGCACACAAAACCAGTGACCAAGACCAAGGCTGCTAACACAAGAAGCTTGGGTCAGTGTCCTTTGTTCCCAAGCAGGAGAGTTCAATCTCTTTAAAGGACAGGGAATAAAGAAACCATGAGTAAAAACAAACATGCCATAGATTTATATTGTGAGAAGATTGAAGATCAAGACAGAAATTCTGAAGAGGACAACATTGTCAACAAACTCACATCTGCAACATCAAAAGGGAATATGCACTGGTCTGAAGCCCAAAAAGCCTTCTTAGAAGAGCTCAGGAAGGATTTTAAAAGTCTAATGACAGAGGTAGAAGAGTCCTTCAAAAATACAATTGGCCAATTGGAAAAAAGTACCCTGAAGAAAACAAGTCCCTAAAAAACACAATTGGCAAACTGGAAAAAAAGTAGGCTGAAGAAAACAAATCCCTTAAACATACAATTAGCCAATTGAAGAAGGAAGTACAAAAACTAACAGAAGAAAACAATCTGTTGAAAACTAGAATTGGACAAATGGAAACTAATGACTCTATGAGAGAGCAAGAATCAGTCAAACAGAAACAAAAAAATGAAAAAAATAGATGAAAACATAAAGTACCTCATTGCTAAAACAACCAACCTGGAAAATCGATACAGGAAGGACAATTTAAAAATCATTGGATTACCTGAAAATCATGATGAAAAAAAGAGCCTGGACAGTATCTTTCAGGAAATCATAATGAAAAACTGCCCAGAAGTCCTAGAACCAGAAGGTAAAATAACCATAGAAAGAATATAACACTCACCACCTGAAAGAGATCCCAAATTGAAAATGCCAAAGAATATAATAGCAAAATTCCTAAATTACCAGATGAAAGAGAAGGTGCTGCAAGCAGCCAGAAACAAACAATTTAAATGCCATGGAACCACAGTCAGGATTACACAGGACCTTGCAGCTTCTACATTAAAAGACCGCAGAGCGTGGAACATGATATTCTGTAAGGCAAAGGAGCTTGGACTGCAACCAAGGATCAACTACCCAGCAATAAGGAGCATGATTTTTCAAGGGAGGAGATGAATATTCAACAAAATAGGGGACTTCCAAACCTTCCACATAAAAACACCAGAGCTCAACAAAAAAATTGATGTTCAAGTATAAGATTCAAGAAAGACATAAAAAGGTTAATGGGACAGAAAGATACAAAATGTTGCTAATAAGGGTGGACTGTTTACATCCCTACAAGGGAAGATGACGCTTGCAACTCTTGAGAAATGTATTGTTATTACACCATGTTAAAGGAGTATACATAAAAGGGGTGGATGTTAGTTGGCTTTGATGTAATTATAAAAAAAAAATTGAATCAAATGGGTTAAATGGATCCAAGTAAATGGATTAGTCTGATCTTAGAAAATGTACTGAGAAAGGAGAAGGCAGACAAGGGTAAATTACATCATAGGAAAAGACAGAAAATCCTATTACAGCAGAGGGAAAGAAGGGAGGGGGGTAAGCATTGTTTGAACCTTACTTTCATCAGATTTGGCTCAAGAAGGGAATAACATAATCAGTTAGGTATAGAAATCTAACTTGCCTTATAAGCAGTAGGAGGGAAAAGGGGAAAGAAAAGGGAAGGGGGAATAAAAGGGAGGGAAAAAGCAGTAAGGGCAAAGGGGAAGAAAAGGGAAAGGTATAATAGAAGGGAGGAGAGACTGAAGGAGGCAGTGGTCAAAAGCAGAACACTAGTGAGGGGAGGAAAGGAGAAAGGAGAAAAAAAGCATAAACAGGGAAAAAAAGGATGGAGAAAAAGACACAGATAGTAATCATAACTGTGAAAGTTGAATCACTACCTTTTTTTTTCTCTTTTGTTGAGTTTTGTTTCCTCTTTCTGATGGTTCCTCCTATGGTTTTAATTTTTACTTACAACTTCACTAATGTGAAAATATGTTTAGTAGGAATGTAAATGTATAGCATATATCATATTGTGTGCTGTCTTGGGGAGCATATGGAAGTGATTATTGATAAATCAAAATAAATAAATGAAATTAAAAAAAAACAGCCACGAAGGAAGCTGAAGTAGCTACTGTGGAGCACTTAGAGCTTGGTCAGATATTAAAGAAATCAGTGTCATCCATTGAATCCCAGACCATCACCAGTAGTCTTGACTTTTGTCTTGCCGCTGGACTTCCTGACTTCATGCAACTCTACTTCACATAAATCCAAGTCATTCATGAGTCAAGACATCATCTCATGATGTCAGTGGTCCTTTTCAAAAATGAAGGAAAAGACAATAAAACTACACATACATACACACACATATCAATCAGTCCATTGGTCTCTCTATATGAAAAGAAAAAGAAAAAAAAGCTTTGTCCCAAAATGAGAGAGGATAAAGGCAGAGTTAAAAGGAAGAAAATGACCTCAAAAGTGATTGAAAGATTGCAGTTACATTTAGGATTTCCTTTCCTTATTTTTTTTTTTTGGTTGGGAGAGGGCTTGAAGAACTTTTGGTCTTGAGTAGTATTTACAAGACAGTACTGTGGAAAGAAGTTATTGAAATGATCTTAAAAGAGGAGTGATTTAAGAATTACAACCATAGACTTTGAAGAGACCTCTGAGGTAAATCAACTAGGTCCAGCCCATGGCTGAATTAGAATCTCCTTCATAGCGTCTCTTAAAAAGCAGTTGTCTTAGTTCTTGCTTGAATATTTCTAGCGAAGGAGAACAATTCTGAAGGAAGCAATTTAGATAGCTACAATCATTAAGAAGTGTTTCCTGCTTTTCCGGTGGTGAAGATCTCCCGGTGCCACCATGCCTCTCCCCAAAGACTTCCTACACCCCTCTCCTGAAGAGAAGAAACAGAAACACAAGAAGAAGCGCCTGGTGCAGAGTCCAAACTCGTATTTCGTGGACTTAAAGTGCCCAGAGTGCTATAAAATCACACCTGTCTTCGGCCATGCACAAACAGTGGTCTTCTGTGTGGGATGCTCCATTGTGCTCTGTCAACCTACCAGAGGAAAGTCAAGACTTACAGAAGGATGCTCCTTCAGACGGAAGCAGCGCTAATGACTGAATCAAGATGAGAGAGAAATTGTAAAGAATAAACACACACAAAAAAGTTTCCTGATGATCAGCCTAAATATTCCTCTCTACATCACATGCCGCTTCTATGTCTAGGCTTTGGTTCCACACATAGCCTGTCACTTACTAGAAGAGTATTATCAAGTCTCCACTAAATTTGTTTTTCTCATATTAGAACTAAGATAAATGCCCCTAGTCCTGACACCAAAGCTTAATGTGAGTTTTTTCTTCTTCCACCTCCCCATTAAGTCTCTCTCATTTGAACCTGGCAACAACATTGTAGGGTATTGAGGTGTTTTTATGGATTTTTTAATAAGGAAGTTGGAATCCAGAAAAATTAAATTACTTGATCATAGTTGTAAAGAGTTTGTCTACTAATATTTTCTTTGTCTGACCCTCCTAGTTATTTTTATTTCTTTTTTTTTAAGGGCCACCATCCCTTGACTCATTTCTTTAAGAGGCTTATATACTGAATGGATGTTACCTCACTCCAAGTGAGATCTTGAAAAGATCTTAGCTTAAAAAGGTCGCGGTCTCCCATTGCATCATGGGCCATCTCCAGTTGTCCTGATCTATATCTGGCCACTGGACCCAAATGGCTCTAGAGGAGAAAGTGAGGCTGGTGACTTTGCACAGCCCTCCCTCACTCCAATTCAATTGCAAGTCATGTCATCATCTCCCTGATGTCATGGTCCTTTTTGAGAACAAAGGAAACATCACAACCACAACAGCTGATGTATTAGAGACGGCATCTATAACTAGGTGTTTATACACCCATGTCCACCACTCTATCCACATTACTATATTTAAATATGCATTTTAAACTCAATATCACTTTTGCTGCTGAAACTTTCTCAATCTAAACTTTTATTTGAGTTTCAGTCAGAAAAATTACTTTTAATTTCCATTTTTACCACTGGTGGCTAGCCTTAGTCCATCTGGATCACCTTGATATCAAGATAGAGGGGACTATCTGGGACTAGTGAAACTGTCAACCTTTGCTCTATTTTCTCCTAGCAACCAAATTGCTGCATTGTGGAGTTAACAAACTTTGTCCTTATTCTCCCTAAGCCATTGTACTCCCTATGATAAAATACAACATACTGAGCACTGTTTAACCTTGCTCTCCAGAGCAAAATTGGTTTAAACTCCCCTTCAGGGTTCATAAAGTACTTTTGAGGAGTTGAAGTGTCTCTTCTCTAACATTATTGGCTTGAGTCCCCATTTTGGTGTTTCCTTCAATATAAATTCTTTATCTTTAATGTCCACTTCAACTATATACTCCACAAGTATGTCCTGTAGGGAAAGGAGGGAGGGTGGTTTATGAGAGAAGGAAGTAAAGGTCTGATTTTGTTTGTTTGTTTTGTTTTGTTTTGTAAATAAAAGGGATAAATGGTCCTTTTCTGAATTAGTCTTGGTGTTTCGGATCAGTGTTTTGCCTCTGGATTCTTCTCTTCTTATTTTTTTTATGAATGCTTATATCATTTTGATTTTCCTTTATAATAATGTATGGAAAGGGGCCTGGGAGAGGTAGCTGGGAAATCTCTCTGAAGCCATCCTATTTGGGATACTATAGGGAAGCAGCTCTGCCATACAGTATTTTCCAAAGGACCCAACTACAGCCTTCATTTAACTCTATCACTAAGCCGTTACAGTCAGTTAGACAGAATACACTTGTCAGTATTTATAAAGCTAAAGGTTCCCTATGTTGTAGTTTCTTTTTTTATAACCTTCTCATGTCACCCTCTTTCCCCCCCTTTTCTCTCACTATTCTCCATTTTCTTTTTTACCTTTGCTGTTTTCTGACTTTCCTGTAAGCACCTGAAATTGCCATGCTAAACCTATACTAAAGGAGGCTTTTTTTTCCCCTTGAGGTGTTATCTCTATTACAAACACTTCAGACTCATAGAGAATTCTTTGGAATACTCAAATGTTAAGTGACTTGCCTGGAGTCACATAGTAAGAATGTAGCTCAAGGCAGAATTTGAGCTCAGGTCTTCCAAGCACAATTTTCTATCCTTTATGCCATTCTCACTATTAATAAAAAATTGAATAGGTACTATAACTGAGATTTCATTAGTATAAAGAATTCTCAGATAGGGAAACTCCTACCAATGAAGGCTAAACCTTCCGTGCAATCTATAGTCTCTTGGAGTTTCATAGATCACCACAGGTTAAAATGGCTTGCTCAAGGTCACACAACTAGTATGTGTCAGAGATGGTACTTGAACTTATACTTTCCTGATGCCAAATCCAGCTTTCTATCCAGCATATCACCTTGTATGGATACAAAAGGAAACAAATTAAATAATTCAAAGTCTTTAAATAAGATTCACCATCAGTCAGCTTTAATTGTGTAGAAAATCAAAGAGCTCTGGATTTAGGGTTGGGAGACTTGGATTTAAATTCTGACACTCATTAACCACTTAATCTTAGGCAACATTCTTTTGGAGCTTCAATTTCCTCATCTCTAAATTGTGAATAATAATACTTGTTTTATCTGCGTAACACTATCGTGAGGTTCAAATGAAATAAGACATTTTCTTAGAACTTATATCAATATCAATTATTATTGACCCATATTAAGTTTCTAATTTCAACATCGTTATTAGTAAATGGGCTACTTACTTCATTCTAAAAACATAGCAGGACTCAGATATTTGATTGATCTAACAATAAATGCCTACAGGAAGTAAACTGTAAACGCAGGGTCATAAAGCTTTCCTTTTATCTGATGCTTGGTAAGCCATTCCAATTCTATCATTTCCTGATTCAGAACAAACTTCCTTTGGCTAATGAAAACATTCAATTAAAAAAAAAACAATAATTTATCATAAGTAATATTAAACATTAACAAAATAAATTAAATTTACTTTATAACTATTTACATTTAAATAAATGAAATTCACCCTTAAAATGTCCTGGCTTTTTCATTCACTTTCTCTTATTCCATAGATGAACCTGGTCCTTAAAAAGAGGCAGGGTTTGTTTGTTTTTCCATCCAAATAAGTGCCCTTTAATGATAGAAATGAAAAGGTTACTGGTGTAAGAAGCCTGGTAGTTTCATTTGCTTGCAAACTAAAAATAAATGGAAAAGAAATTAATAGTTCATTAGATTCATTCAAGAAATACGTTCTGCCCAAAAGAAAATATTTGATCTTTCCTGCAGGTGTTAACTAAAAACTAGTCCCCACCATGGCTAACCTAGTGACAAAAAGATAAATGAGCCCCAGAATTCACACAGTACCTTGGATGTACCTAATGAATAAATGCCACAAATTCCAGAAACTTCAGCACAAGTATAACCTTCTTCCAAAAGATTTTTCTGATAATGCCCAGAATACAGTTTTCAAATAAGACACAAAGGTATTAAATAAGACCCAGATGATGCTGATACACTGAGTTCAGGAAGCAGGTTTATAACTTATCAATCAGCCAGGATACTTACTGCCTGCTGGTTAAGCAAGTTGCTTTTGAAGATACACAAACCATCATACCAAGGAAAAAGGATATCTAAAGAACTGCTTTCTTGACCCACAGCCCTCCTCTCCCTGGCAAAGCTATGCACACATTCTCTGCTCTTTCAGCTGTGCAAATTACCGTGTATCTATATAATTCAGGAGCAAAACCAAACCGAGATTGGCCTAAAGGGAATAAAAGTGAGTCTTAAAAAATAAAGTGGGACTCTGAGTCACTTCTTTCTATTTCCTTTCTCTTAGGTTTTCAAAGAAAGGGAGTTTGGGCAGACAGAGACTGAATTTCTTTTACGTATCTAGGTTGATTTTTTAATTGCATATATAGGAAAAGCTATGGGCCAGCCTATGGCTAGATTCTGGAAAGAAATGATGTTACTGCCTAGTGAGATACCAACAAGGATTTAGTAAGATTATGGGTCATAAGAATTTTGTTTTAAATAGCCTATTAGCTAATATCAACCAAAGATATACTATACTAGTACTTTGCCATACTTACTCTTATTTAGAGTATGATGTATATATATGCATATACATGTATATATATGTGTGTGTGTGTGTGTGTGTGTGTGTGTATATATATATGTATAATTATCATATGTAGTATTGTTAAATGGCCAGAATCTAAATTAGATAATGCCAGACTCCAAAAAAGAGGTGACTTTAAATGCCTCATAAACTCTAGGTATCAGAGAAAGAATTAAGATAATAAAGGATAGGCTAATGTTCTCTGAGTATTATTGAAGAGTGTGTATGTTTGTGTGTGTGTGTGTGTGTGTGTGTGTATACATATATATATATATATACATATGTATATATATACATATGTGTGTGTGTGTGTGTGTGTGTGTGTGTGTGTGTGTGTGTGTGTGTGTGGAGAGAGAAAGAGAGGGAGAGAGAGAAGGCTCTTCACCACAACATTAAACATTCTTAGATAAGACCATATTTAGAAAGTAAATTTGTTACTATAATATTTTGTAGTTGTTTTCTTTTCTTTGCTCACTTTTATGCCCTTGCTATTACACATTTAATTCCTCTTATCATGTGGATCGAATGGTAAACCACATTGTTTATGAGTTAGCATTGAATCTGACTGAGGTGCTCAGTTTCATTTGTGCGTGTTTCTTTCAGAAAAAAAAGAAATCAATAAAAAGTCATTATGGCAAAGGTGAAAAAGGAGGGGGAAAAGAGAAAATGAATCAATCCTTCTAATGTTGATGTGCATATATATAGTTATAGGGATAATATGCTGTGCATATTTATGAGCAGGGGAACATGAAAAAATGTTAGCAAAAGAGACTCCTGTGACTTCTAGGTAGAATTAGATTTTCATATATATTTCATGACAAAAAAAAAACCAGAACTAGCTATTTAATTTCAGAGTTATGTAAAAAATCTAAACTATTCTGAAAAAGTAGGTAAAATAAGATCCTTTGAAGGGGGGAGGGGAAAAGCTTTCACCAATATGACTTTTAGGCAGAGGTTAAACATCTGCCATCTTGGTGATGCTGT